ACTAGGGGTCTCATAGGAGCCTCGCCACTAAATCTGATACCCGAGTTAAGCAAGCCTCAGCTTCCTCATCCCATTTTTAAACTGTTTGCACCACATGACATGCCAGGGAAACATGGCACATAGGTAAATTAAGATAAGTAGCCAACCAAATCCCGTGTGCCTCCCTATGCTGACGAGAGAGACACTTTATTGCTCTACCTCATAAACTTGGGATCAGCCCCATGAGCCATGAGGCAGGTAAAGGGGAAATTTGACAATTGCCTGGTAATTGTCATAACCTGACTTGCATTTTGAGCACTTGGCTCATCCTGACATTAGCTGAACAACTGAGTGTCTGTTTCCTTTGCGGTTTCCTGGATGATTAAGATGCCCATTGTTTTTAATAAAATAAAATAAATACACATATTTTAATACAATAAACAATAATACATTTAAATTTTATAATACATTAAAATTTAATGAGATACAATTAAATAATAAAAAATAAAATATTATTTTTGATAAAATACATTTAAAAATCTTATCTTCAATCAAATAACAAATATTCTGGAAATTCTTAGATGTCAGCTGTGTTCTCTGCAGAGCAGCTATTTAAGTGGTAGCGTGAATCAGTTTATTAAGGAGCATCACAGGACAAGGAACTTCTGTCTAACAGCAGTAACTTCAGTCTGCTTCTCTCACCTTTGAGAGAGAAGTCTGGCCATTTTGTTATATTTTTTTCTTTTGTCTCATAAGTGAACGTGCTGCATATTTCACAGAGGGCAGAAAAGAGGAAGTTCATATTCCTCTGGACACTACCAGGCGCCAGGGCTTAAAGCCCACGTGTCTCTGTGGGTGAGAGGCACGGTTCAAAGCCTCCATCTCCCTAATCGTTAACAAATGTCCTCTCTCCCAGGAGAGAGAGTGAGAAACAATGAGGACATGTAAGAAATAGCTCTTAGCTGGCCTGGGGAGCTCAAGCCTGGGTGCACATCAAAACGATCACCACAGACGCTTCGTGCCAAGCTTGCTGCTCTGAGACACCCAAATGCCCGGCTGCTTAGGTGAACAGTGGCCAAGTGGATTCCAGAAATCTCATGGGAACAGCATCTGCTGCTGCGGCTTCTCTGTGGCTCATTCAAACCCCTGGCACATAAAAGTGGTGGAAAAAGATAACTTTGAACCACCAGGGTAAGGTGTTTACATAGGGCTTGGGCTAACCATTCAGGCCACATGCTTTTATTTTGTTCTACCCCACCCCACCCCTACAATACCTGTGAATGTAAAGCGCTCCACCCTTTCACAACATTTCCTCACTCTTTCATCAAATATTCTTAAGCCCTTCATATCCCAGTAAAGCTGGCATATGGTTGTTGAAATCAGCAGCTACTGCGTATTAGTAAATAGTGCTTAAATAGTCGACTTACAAAGTGTCTGTTCTGACCACAAGTTTCAAGTACCCAGAGCAACAAGGGTAAACACAACAGACTGGGCATGAAGCCTGGGTTTGTGGTTTTCCATGAAGCCCTACAAAAGTGTGACAGGGCTGCCATAAGGGACCGGATAGAGAGGCAGAGTTCTGGGACCCCCACATCCACTTTAATCAGAACAGCCCTGCTTAGCTCTTTCATAATTGCGGCTATGAGTGTTGTTTAACTATATTTTGTATTTAAGTGCATGTTATCATTTAAAGAAAAATAAAGCATAAACAATATCTGAGTATTAAAAAGGAGTTCTAACTTCTTTTTATCACCTTCCAACTCCCAGCTTCTACAAATGATGCACTACAATATAGAGACAGCAAGTGCGCTTGGAATTAATCATGGTTATTTGGAATTATTTGAGGTTTCTGAGGCATCACCTTATGTTAACCACTAAAAAGTACTATTTTTGGCTCCAATACAATTCTCTCAACACATTTGAACACTTTCTATATATGAGACACTCTGCTAGGTGCTAGGAACAGAAGGAACACACCCACTTGGTATCAGCTGCGTAAGGATAATTCAACTTCTATTGCCTTAGTTAGTTGAAACCAAACTTAGCATCTTTCTCACCATCCTTTTTACTACCCCAGCTACACTCCTCCAGCAGACACCAAACTGGCTTTCCCTAACTATTTGTTGAAGTGCCCGTTTATATGATCACTTTTCATACTTTGTTTTCTTTTGTTGCACGTGTCACTTCTCTCACATTGACTTCAACTCCTTGTTCTGATGCAGCACTTTAATAGTTTATACCTAGACTACAATTCTCACTAGATGTTTCTTCAGAGCAGACGCCTGTGGAGTAGCTATGATGACACTGAGGTTGAGGGGAGGAGAAGAGCATGCAGCCCTCCTGAAAGAGTGACATTCACCAACTCAGAGTCAGAGGAAAGGAGCACGGGGTCCCCTGAGTGGTAGGGGAGGAGAGTCAACATCCCTTGTGGGATATGTGAGGCCAGGAGACCAACTTCCTCCTGTTCCATGGTGGTAACCCCTCCAGCAGCCAGGAGGAATTGGATGAGAATTTGGCGTCTCAGGATTGTTCCTGGTAGGAAGTGACCCAGAGAAACAACCATTCTGGCATTTTGACCCAAGTCCTTAATAGTACTCCTCTAGTGCTATCCTTCATCATGTCATCCTTCAAAGCTCTGTTCAAGCTATATTTCCTCCCCAAAACACCCCCTGTATTGTTGCCATTTCCTGACTTCTTTCCCACTCCCTAACTGTATTTGCCAAATAGTTTCCCCCTTCACACTGCTTTAGCCTTTCGTTTACTTGGCATTTTGTTATTGGTATTCAGTGCAGGCTTTTTACTAATTGCTTAATTGTCTTTCAAGGCTATCAGATAGTCAACAAGGCCTGCCTTTCCTTTTTTTTCCTTCTGTGCTAGTTACATAGAGATATCTAAGAAATATGAGGTGCTAGATTAATTTGTACTCAACCCATTCATTTAGGGGGAATAGTGTATAGAGAATCTGGCCTTTGCCATGTACTGACTAAACCCATGTGCTTAATCAGTAATACTGAAAAGCTTTTCTATAACTGAAGAACTAGCCATTGGTGATAAAATCTACGTAAAGATTCTTTGTGATCATGCTTTGTTGATTGTAGTTTGGTTAGAGATATTTACTAGTCTTGTGTGTGTGTGTGTGTGTGTGTGTGTGTGTGTGTGTGTGTGTGATTGATCTTTACATTACTCTTGAAGGGTTTCTTATGAGAGTTAAGTCTAAGAAGTATTTATGTTGTCTTTGAGAAGTAGCCCAATACATTCATTCCTTTTCTTTCATTTATGTCTAGATCTTGTGTGCAACAAACTGAATACGAAACTATTTTCACTGCAGAAATAATGGAAACATCTTTCCATGGCTTTGACTTTCTTCCAAGGGATGACTAGAACATCACAACAGAGGAACGCGGTCATGACCTTTAATGTTTCTCTTTAATGGGGTGGATAGTAAGAGGAAGCTCAGGGAATGATATGCCAAGTAGCCCCCACTGAGTGCTTTGAACTCATCAGTTTTGTAGGATTTCAAGTTAGGTGACTCTATTTTGTTGACTACAAAATAATATATTTATTTATTGCAAAAAAAGTCATTTGTGAGAAATGTGACTGGGACTTAATCTGCAGTCCAATGCTGATAGAAGAAAACTTTAATGAAGATTTTGTGGTCCAGTTGTTTCTCCCGCTACTTCAGAATGCTTTCGGTCACACAGGGTTAAGATAATGGCCATCAGGCCATTTCATTCTTCACATTTCTGGTCAGAGATAAATGAGAATACGCTTCCCTACTGTGCAAACATCCTTTTTATTAATACTGGGTGAACAAGAATGTAAGCACATTTGGCTGCAGAGAAAACTAACAGAATTGGAAATGCAGAGCATTAAAGCTCAGAGTCTAAGAACAGGCTTTCAAAGTACAAGTGAGTTAAAAAAAAAGTATTACAGAATAAGCAGCAAAGCTGAAATGAAAATGGCTCAGCATAATAAACCTGCAGTGTGACACCAATGGATTCCACTGATATACCCAAGTGACCCTCACGTTTTGCTCTTGTAGAAAATAGTTATCGTGCCTCAGAAATGAGGACAGCTCACACTGTCTCTAAGATCCAATAGTTAATGTGTGCTCAGACCATTCAACTCATCTTATAACACGCATTACTTATGCAGACATTTGATGATGAACCCCTAGGTGTCTTGTGACACATATTCTCATATATCATAACTTAGGTTTTACATCACTGTTTTATTTTATCCTACTTCCCATGTAAAGTCTAAACAATTTAAAGTCAAGGACTGTGCCTGCTTCAGTGGTCTGGAGGAAAGAAAAGTCCTTAAACCTTAGTTAAACACAGTGCAGCTGCCTTTGAATAAATGCTCTTTGGGTTCTTAAAGAGTGAAAAAAGACATACTTATTTTTACTTCCGTTCAGAGTGCATAGATGTAGTAGACAGCATGTGCAGGGGAGTGTCTACCTATGCATTCTAATACCAACCAAATAATGAAACAACCGCCAACCAGTCACGCAAAGGACCAAGCCCAAGAGGGTTGCTCAAATTCTTGAACAGTTGTCCTTTTCATGTAAAAGAAAAAAAAAAAAAAAAAAGCACATGTAGCTAGCTTTTGCATTGCTAGGCCAGCCTCCCGGCCCTAAAGATCAGCTTGAACTGAGTGAAAATTAGATAGAATACAGATTCAGTGGCATAAATACTGTCCATGGGCAGAGATGAGAGTATACGGGTTTCCAAATAGGAGAATTCAGCCCATTTTTCACCTAGACATTCTTTGAAGCTTCAGAAGTTTCATTTCATCAGTAGCAAATGAGGAGAATTCTATGGACCAAATGCCCACCTGTAACCCTGAATTGCAGCAATAAAATCATTAATAGCCATTGACTTTCTAGGAATAAAGCAATGTGTTCAAAGTAGACCTTATAATTAGGAGAATGTGCTGTAATCAAGTCTCCAGATCCAGAAAATGGAAGGAAAAAAGGGTCATTTGGTGGAGAAAGGGCTTTGACCCTTTTGATTTTGCAGGACTTTAATAACGTTGGCTCGGTTTGACTTCTCAAGGCTGGAATGTGACCAATACATTAGCAATGCTGATTGGCTTTGATGAGAGGTTTCTGAAAAGAAATACATGCATAGAAGTAAATGAAAACCTTAAGCAAAATTTGGTTTTCATAGGTCAGCTATCTGGATTTGAAAACATAATCCTACCTGATCATTCTCTTTGTTCATTTGTCTGTGTTTTCTTTGTTCTCTTTCCCTCCTGCTTTCTCTCTCATCTCTTTATTTTATTCTTCTTTTTTGTAATATGCTTCTCTTAGAATAAGATTTTCATCTTCAAATGCTGCATTTTCAAGAAAATGTTGAATTTTTAAAATACAATAAGCTGCTTTGCAATCAGTGAATGTACATGGGTTCAGGATAGGCTTTGAATTGTGCTCACATCCCACTGATGTGAACGGGGACATGCAGGAGCCCCGTCTTTGTAGACTTCTGGCAGTACAAGGATAGGTAACAAAATAAAGAAAGACTCTCTATGAGCAGTGTGATCTGCGAAGATGAGACAGAGACCCTGGGATCTGAGTGACTGTGAAATACCCCTAATGAACTCTCTCGCTCCCTTCCCTCTGAGCTCCCTTCCAGAGTAGGGAAGCCTACTCAGCAAGCCATCACGCTTGAAAGTGCAGCAGTTGGAAGAAGAAAGACAAAAGTCTGAGGCTGAAGGGAGATTCTGAATTAGTGATGAGCTGCTGCATCCCACATGCAGAGGCTTCTTTCAGTTCCTGGGGAAAGTGTTTTATTAAACACACCACACTCCTTTGCAGCGTCCTTCGTTAACTTTCTTTTTTGCTAATAGGGTGGCTGGAAATAAGCAGATTGAGTTTTCTATTTATCTACAGGCTATGTAAACAGCTTCTACAGCCCAGAGAGGCAAGCAGTAGGGTTATGTTTAAAGGGTCTGTTATATTTATATTGAATCTGACAAAACACCATTGGCCACATTCACAGGCTATGGAAGCTACTTACAAAAGATGTGAGCTGGAGGAAATTTGGACCTGGAACACATTCGGTGCAAATTTGATTTTGTCTATTTTATCTTTCCATTATCCACATTTGATTCCCCCTCTCCCCCTTTTTCTTTCTTTCTCTCTCGCCTGTGTTTTTGATTTTGATTTCTCCCCGTGGGTTCTTATACAAAGATAACATAATTAATTAATTGGATCCGTTCAGAATGAAAATGCTTAAATTGACTATTTAGACTTATGGAACAAAAAGCAAAACAAAATGCAGCACCAACACAACAACGATCCTGCATTTCACTGGGTTTTCCCTCTTAATAGTTGTGTCCATGCATGGTACTTAGAAACAGCCCTTTTTCAAATGGAAATTTTCAACATCAGAAATGATTGATCTGGACCCACCTTCCCAGAGCAGCCAATTCATACAGTCAGTCTCTTGCATACAATAAGCCACCCTCTGTGCTGAGAGCAGACCCAGGACTGGGGACCAGGGGTGAATTACCCACTGGAGATAATACACAGTAGCTAGTATTCTTGCCTGTAGAGATCAAGTGTCTGGCGGTGGAGATCTGACAAATATCACAGGGAAAATGCACTTTTGTTTTTACAGCACACAGATATACACACAGTATGGAAATTTAGTAAATAGATTGATCTTGATAATTGACTATTCTGCCAGGCCAAATTTGTCCATTCTCAGATTCTTGATAAATTAAATACTATAGAGCTTCAACATTCAATACTACAATTCTACTAAAGACAATTTGGTCTCTTTGAGGATTCTAATGTTTATAGAAATTTTGCAGCATTTATTGGCTAAGTCCAGGAATAATTAAGGAAAAGGCAAGATGAGGAGTGGGTTAAATCAGATCACTTTAGGTGTTATAATTTTATCACTGATATAATTTTTTCAAAGGGTGTCTGAAGTTAATATTGGTCACTGATTAAGATAGTGCCTTTCTGGTTTCCTCAGCATGAAGTTACTATTTTTCCCTCTTAGTATTGTCTTATTAGTAAGGAAGTGACCAAGTCCAGGTTAAATTTAAGAAGAGAACAATGGAGCTCCGCATTCTAGAGTATTTTGTTTTTGAAATATTTTTTGAAATTCTTTTGTAAGGAAGGTTTGTCACTTCCTCCCCATTTGTGTATTTACTTATTCAATGATTTATTTATATCAATATAGATGCACACACACACACACACACACACACACACACACATATATATATATATATACACACACACATATACATATATTTTATAATTTGGGTTATAATCTAATACTAACTTGTTTTGTTATTCGAATTCTTCTAGCTTTGACCTTGGGAAAAATAGTGTTGATGTGTTCAAACTACAACAACTTAAGAGTGTCTTTTGTAGCATGACAGCAATAATTGTATTAACCGAAGTGGAGTGAAAGTAAATTTTAAGCAAATTTCTACAAGAGAAACTCCTAGAGTACAGCCAGGAAATTGCACAATAGGTATCATTCAGTGGTGGAGCAGCAGTTCGTGGTGATGGTATCATGCTTAATGAAGGTAATGAAAAGTAAGAAATGCAATGGAGAGCTGACGTTGCATTGGCTGCATTTAATCACATTGGAAGGAAGCTTTGTATCAACTGATGACAAGTTTGTGCTTTAGAGTATACTGCTTTGAAGATGATGTCTGCCTAAATGGATCAGAAATGTTAACACAAAGAATATATAACATAAATTTTAATCTTAACATTACTCATTGTAATATATTGAGAATCAAGATTTGTATCATTGGAATAATAAATACGCTAACCTGTAACTCACAGTCCTACATGTGAACCACTATCACATAGTGAGCTAATCAAGTATGAAAAATAGGTCTTGTAAACAATATGGGTACTTGGTTTTTATGAGAGAGGAAAAAACAAGAAATGGAAATAGTAGCATGGTTATTGGCAGAAAATATTGCATTAAAGAAATGTTACTTGGGGAGATGAAAATTCGTTACCAAAATCAGCCTGATTTTTATACAAAACATAACAGAACATTATGATATATACTGAATATATACAATTTTTAGAATTGATTCCTATAGAACATATGCCTCCACTCCCCTTTATTTCACATGCCCCTTGATATTTTGGAACATCTTAATGCAGTCATGTTTTGAATGCCACGGGGAAGGTTCTTAAAATGGTCACACTCAAGAAAAGTACATGCATTATTTCTGTGTTTTAGGACAAAAGATGTTTACCTATGCTGTGTCTCTATCTAGAAAGCTTTCTCTCTCTCTCTCTCTCTCTCTCTCTCTCTCTCTCTCACACACACACACACACACACACACACACACACACACACACACACACACATACACACTGACTGACCCCTGTTCATCATTCAGGACTCAGCTCAACCCTCAGTTCTCAAGAAGTGTTTCCAGGGCTCATTCTTAATATTGGTCACCACTCTTATTCTTTCTTAAACTCTGTCAAGAAGGAAAACTTTTTTTCTCACCCTCTTATGTTTAGTCCCTGGGGGCATAAAAATTAAAATTTTTATTAATATTTACATGCATGGGAGTTCACAGAAATTCAGATAAATAGGTAGACTTGGAGGCTTATATACCCTTTTAAAAAAGGAAAGAAGGTTTGGACTTCAAGAGGCCATAAATCATGGGGAAGTGACTAGGATATATGTGAAGGAACTAATTGAAGGTAAGGGCTGTTTTAGTAAGGTCTGTTTATGCAAACTTGTCTTGGTATTGACTCCCTGCCTTTGATGATAAGAGTATTTCTTCTCTGGATGGTGGGGTGGGAAGAGGAAGGGAGGAGTTCCAAAATTTATTCTCTGCTTTTAGGCAAATATGGGAGGGCAGAGAACTCTTCTAGCCTCTGTTGATTCTTGATTGCCTTTAGCTCAAAATTATTCTATGCTAAGTGGCCAATTTCAGGGTAGCATTGTCTGATGTCTTCAATACTCTGTTCTTGACCTTAGTGGCATTTCTGACAATTTTTCAAATCTATGTAATACTGGTCTCTCCTACTAGACTGTAATCTCACTGAAGGTGAGAGCCTTTTCCATTATTTACCTCTATACACAGAACACTAACATAGGTCCTGGCCCATATATTTATTGACAAATATATGATTATGTGAATGAGATAGCTCTTAAGCAAAAAATGCTTTTTGATTCCTGAAAATAAATAGCCTCTTTCTTTCACGAAGTTTTAGAACATAATTGAGATACTTTTTTGGAAGAAATGCTGATATGCTTTAAATTGTTTATGCCAATAAAACTATTTAAGTACATAGCTTTAGTAAGATGCTTTGTAAATTGTAAGTACTTTTCTATATACAAGTTCAAACTGCCCCAAATTTCTCGAAAGAAGTATCTTCATTTCTCAAAAAAGGAAACTGAATGAGACATCAAAAGGCGAAATGGATTAGCTGAACAACAAAATACTTGTGAGAACAGTGAGAAAATGAGCACTGTCTTCTGGTTAGACAGTGAGCAACCTCCACGGGGCAGCTGGCATCTCACATGACTTGATAAGGATGAGGCATCACGAGTGTCATCCTACAATGTGTAGGCCTGTTGTTTATATTTTCTGGTGAGTGTTTTTAGTTTTTCCCCTAAAGTCATAGACACACTCCACAGGGTCACGCTAATGGTAACAAGCAACAAGGATTTTCCTAGATTTAATCCTCTTTTCTCTCTATGGTATTAGAGTATGTTACAATGATTGCTATTAGAAATTAGTTTACTATCTTCTAGTCATTTGTTTGCTTATAAACAAGTTTCATAAACTTATAGGAAATAGTAGTTCTTTTTGTCTTTTAAAGTTATCTAAATGATGTTCCAATCCCCATCTGACCCAGCCAGTGTCAAGTTCTACCCCATTCCCCAGAGGAAAATCCTCCTTGTCTGTTACCATGTAGAAATCTTAGTGTCCTGTCCCTCTGAAGATGTAAAACGGGTTCTCTGGACACTGATTACCTCCCCGTGACTAATGTCCCTGTCTACTGCTTCAGGTAAAAAGACTCTGCTGTCCCATGTTGTGGTGAAGCTGGGAGCCTCACCAGCGAGCAGCACAAAACCATTTGCTCTGGGATCTGCTATCTCTCTGGGGTGCTGCCAAAGAGGGCAAGATTGCCACTCCTCCAGGGAACCCCACCCCATGCACACACTTCCTCCCAGCTGTAGGAGTCTCTCTTCCTCTTCTGTCTTGTTTCCTCAGATACATTCCTCTCTAACATCCCTTCTGGGACACTCAACATCCTTTTGATGACTTTAGGCATTAGAAAAGGCAAAAAGAAACACTAACATCTGCTTCTTCTGTTTTCCACCCTGAAAAAGTCTGCAAAGCAAAAAAGGAATAAGGAATGAGTAAGCTTTGTGAAATAGGGGAGGGAAAAATATGAGGAGGACAAACACGCGATTTCTAACATGACACTCTATTACAGATATTCCTAGACAGGGAGCATCCTGATGGTGGTATATGCATCTTTGAAATTTTGTTGTTAAAGTGACTCGTGTTATCTTTCGCATAATAGGTCCTTACATGTTGTGGAAAAAAGGGGGAATAAAGAAGGGATAAAAGAAGGAATGAAGAGAGAGAGGCAAAAAAAAAGGTGAGAAAGAAGGTGAGAGGAATATAATTATACATACCAATGCAATATGCATTGAATATAGAAAGTATGCCAATCAAGCTGCTAAATATTATTGGTAATATAAAAATGCATTAGTTCCCCAGGAGCTTGAAAGTTAGAAGAGGAGACATGTATATAAATACCTCTAAAACACAACTAATGTGGTGTCATAGTGTATACAATACCAGGTAGCTATCATATGCACAGTTCCTCTAAAAGAGACTACCCTGAGGCAAACATACTTTGGGGCCACTGTGATTCCAAACATCTAGTCCCAGATGATTGTGTTAGAAGAGGCACCTGACCCAAAGGTATTTATCAAGTAAACTAAGAAATAGCCTTTTGTACAAAAATCAGCAGAGCCAGTCAATCTCTCTAGAGGGTGAAGTAGCTAGCATGGGGAGCTGAGGCTGATAGAACATTACAGCCAGAGTATGGGCATGTCTCCTGGATCGGGAGGAAACTGAAGTTATGTAAAGCAGGAATTAAGAGGAAGTACAGGTTTCCACATATACCAAGAAGAAAATTCCAAAACTGAGCACATAAAGAATGAGGAAACATTTCCATACAGAATGGAGAAAAAAGAGACATGCCACTGTGTGCATAATTTTTTGAGAGAGATTTATAGAGACAGAGAGAGCAGGCATGTGGCTCAGGATCATGAAGGAACTAGTGGATGGCTTCTGGAGTGGCCTCATCTTGTGACAGTTCCAGTTCTGGCACATATGTATCCTTATGACCAACTCCCTTTCTTAATAAGGTGTATTGTATGAGGTTTTCTGTCCTCCAACTGAAGATACAGGTGAAAACAAGAGCCCTGAAAGAAAGGACAGTGGGGTCCTCCAGTTCTTGCCTTTCCTCATAAAGATGACAGCAACAATCCCTAGCCAAGGGTTTTCAACTCTGGCCAACGCTCAGGGTTACTTGTACTGGTGCAACTTTAAAATACACCGAGGTCTGAAACTTCTGACAAGTTTAAAAACCAGCGGATCTAAGGTGGAGTCCAAACATCCCCTTTTTTTTTAACTGAATCACAGGAATTCTCAGCATAGCCAGAGGTGAGACAAATGCAGCAGCTATGTCTTTCAATACGAAGCAACTCTGAACACCATTAGCTTGTGCAAAAGCTCCATTTTTTACTCTAATTTGTGAGCCTGGAAAACTTCAGACTCTCACTCTCTTTCTTCCAAGTTAAAAAATATATCATGATGTGAGTTGTTTAGGTGTTTATCCTGTGACTAGGTATCTAAACAACCCAACTTAGAAGCCACCATTATTTTTAATCATCTGCTTTTCTCACTATTCCATCCTCTTTCTTCCTTTCTTATTTTATTAACTGAATATCTACAATATTAAAGGGATAGCTATTATGGCTTGCAGCCTAGCTATTGGGATGAAGATACACACACACATACACACAATTATAAGTGAAAGTCGTAGGTGATATACATTATGACATAACAGCAACTTCAAGTTAACTATTCAATGTTACAAAATAATGTTTGGTAAAATGCCTGATTTCAAGATTGCTTCATCTGCTCACATGGCTCTTAATGTGTAATTTTCCCTTTAAATTCTCTCCTCTTCCCTGAACTGCTACTTGATGACCTCAACACCAGTTTGGTGATGTATGTACAATTTTTTCCACTTCCGAATACTTTCCAAATGATTCTGTCTTCAAAATATTTACCTCTAGTTAGTGTAATTGGAATAACAAAGGCATTAGCATGTGTACCCAGCCCCAAAGACAGGCATATGTAAAAGCAACACACTAAGGTGGAAGGGTAGCCCCAGAAAACAGTCAGATAGTCATACTGAGTCCTGATTTAATTTGGTAAATATCACCTGGCTACTGGGAAATCATGAGACATATTGTAGCAACAAAGCAGCATGTCTCCTACAATAACCTTTTTATTTATTTAATCCAGTTTATTAATAAAGACCTTCTACTCATTTTCCTGATGTTCAAATACTCCAAAACCATAGGCTCACATTTTGACAGCTAATTTTGCAGGATATAATATTCCTGCTTAGCCCAAGAGGAAAAAGAGATGGATGATTGAGATTAATCATTTGTAAAATTATAATTCTGTCACAGATAATAATTTGCAAGATCTTTCCCTTTTCTGAAATCCCCAGAATGCACTGTAAATTGTCACACTTTGTAACAGAATGTGTAATACATTAGGGGACTCCTAATAAAGCAAGTCTGCTAGAAAAACAAACCAATTGCCTTATAATTGGCATGTTCTCCCACATGACTATTCTCCTGTGAAGGAACATTGTGCCTTGGGTAAAGAAGGGTTTAAAAA